GCTTCCCCCCCCACCACACCCATGAGCCAGCTCCCCCCCCCTGTCGGCGCCCCGGCCTCCCTCCCGCCACGCCGGGGCTCCCTGCTCGTGCGAGGCCCGCACCCCCTCTGCGGAGGCGCAGGGGGCAGGCCCCCCCCCCCATCCGCAGCGCCGCCTCGAAGCCTCGAGCCTCGAAGCCTCGAAGCGACTTCCAGCAACGATCCCTCGGGCTTCGAGCCTCGAAGCCTCGAGCCTCGAAGCCTCGAAGCCTCGAGCCTCGAAGCCTCATCCCAGCGCAGCCTCGAAGCCTCGAGCCTCGAAGCCTCGAAGCGACTTCCAGCAACGATCGTTGCCCGGAGCGGGCGGGGAGTCGCGAGGGGAGCGGGGCCCCAGATAGAAGGAGCCGAACTCTATACACCGACGCACTTTCCCGCCCCGCACTGAAACTCGCACTGGAAAGCGTATCCTGGTGTATACGGGATCCTGGTGTGTACATTTGTCGTCGTTTCCCTGGGAAAACGGGGAAATGAGTATACACCACACCACCCTGACGTCGTCCCCGACCCTCGAAACAGTTTTGGAATTGAACAACACCCCGCCACTGGTAATGTATATGCTCAAGCTTCCGAAGATAATCACGCTTGGCGGGGAGGAGCACGTCGGGGCGGGGGGGGGCGCTGCGATCGCCACGTCACTGCGCGCGCGAGCACCAGCATGCGAGGGGGTCTTCCCTGCCCCCTCCCCCTCCCACGTACGATCGTTCCCGTTACCTGGGGACGGGGTGGGGAGGCGGGAGGGGTCTGGCCCGGGTGACGACCGTCATGCGCCAGAAGGTGCAAAAGCATTCTCCGCGAGCCCCGAAACCAAGATCCTCGAAGCCTCGGGACCCGATGTGGACGCCCAAGATGGGCACGGAAAAAGTGGGTACGCTGCCCAAGCAGCACATGTTGTCCAAAACCGACGAGGGCCGTGTTGGGCAGGCGGCCTTCTGTCTCAGACGGACAGCGCCCGCGGCGACGCCGACAGCGAGCCCTGCTTAAGATGGACAGGATCTGCGGTCGGTCTTCGTACCCACTCTTCCGTACCTCGGGTCGCAGATCGACTGCAGAATTGGTTCACCCCAAAATTGTGATCCTCTCCGAGTCGAGTAATACGCATAGAATGCTCCGTAGACCTACAGAGCATCCCACGCATGTGTCTCTGTAGATTCGACGGGAAATCAAGTCTGGGGTAAGTCTACTCTGCAGTCGATCTCCAGCTTCAATACCCGTCTCGATCACACCGACCCGAGCGTCAAGCCTCCCACCTCGGGGGGGAGAAAGAGCATCCACGTCACGCCGCCGCGGGGGCCCCCAGGGCCCCATCGGCGTGGCACTCCCTCGCTCTCCGCCCGAACAAGACAGCGCACGGCGACAGCAACACGCCGATGGGGCCCCAGGGCCCCACGCGGCGGCGTGACGCTGATGCTCCCTCGCCCCCCCGGCCACCCGCCGTCGATGCGCCCTGCGCGGCCCGCGTGGCCCGCGCGGCCCGCGCGGCCCGCGGCACGCGACCCGAGGCCCCAGGGAGAGCCCGGCATCGAATCGACGCGTCGGATCGGCGATCGAAGGGAATCGCATCGGCGGAAGTCGGCGGCCGAGAGCAACGAAGCGAGGAGCCAGGCCGGCGATCGAAACGGATCGGGCATCGGCGGAAGTCGGCGGCCGAGCCGGGAGAAGTCGAACCGGCGGGAAAATCGGCAGCTCAGCTGGCATCTACAGTGAGACACCGGAGAGCCCGCCTCGGAACACCCGAAGAGCCGAATCGAAGCGGAGGGATTCGGGGATGGACAGACCTCCCTTCAGTAAGACGTGGTTTAGTGAAAACGACCTGAGGCCCAAACCTGGCGGGCGCAAGCCTGGAAGATAACGGCCGCGGCGCCCTCTCGAGAACCGAAAACGGACAATTCACCAATCGACGTGTCACTGTTGGGGGCTCTGTCCACCCCCGACCTATCCCCCCCCTATCGTTGCCCCCGACGTACGAGTCCTCTGCGCCTCCGGGGGGGGGGGGCCTCTTCCTCGCCGCCGCGGCTGGACCTCCGAGGGCCGCTGCAGTGCAGGCCAGGGATGCCGCAGGGCCCGCGGCGGTGCGAAGAGCCCTCCCCCGACACATCGGAACACCCGAAGAGCCGAACCGACGCGGAGGGACCGAGGCGCGCCCCGAGGCCCCAGCTCCCGCGCGAGGCCGCCGCGGGGCTCCTCACTCGCCCCGCGGGGCCGCCGCCGGCCCGTGGCCCGCCGCGCGGCACGCGGCCCCGCCGAAGCCGAAGATCGCCTCGGGCGGGCGCTGCTCGGGGCGGGGCAGGAGATCGGCGAGAGGACTGGAGCATGTCGTCCTCCTCCGCCCTCCTCCCCTCCTCCTCCTCCTCCTCCTCCTCCTCTCCTCCTCCTCATCCTCCTCCCCTCTCCTCCTCCTCCTCCTCGCCCTCCTCCTCCTCCTCCTCTCCTTCCTCCTCCTCCTCCTCCTCCTCCTAGGGGGGGGGGCCTCTTAGGGGCCGCTCGCTACGGGCCCCCCGCTGCTGCAGCCCTCGACGCAGGAGAGCCCAGGATCGAAACGAACGCTGAGCCAGAGCTGCTATCAGAGTGAGTCGGATCGGCGGCAATCGGCAGACGAAGAGGGAGAAGTCGAGTCGGCGGAGATCGGCAGGCCAGCGGGCCTCCATCAAGAAATCGGAGCCCAAGTGGGAGTCCGAACTCGAACCAAAGCAGAATCGGAATCCATCGAAATCGGATTGGATCGAGTCGGAGGAATCGAAGTGAGCCCCGTCGATGTGCCCCCCACCGGGAGCGTCCGAGACGGGGGCGTCCAAGAGGGGGGGGGGGGCTCCCGGAGCATGGCCCGAGGCATATATGTGTGCGGGCGAGAAGGAACCCGGGGGACGTACACAAAGAGGTGGCCCTGAAATCTGGGGAGATGTCCACAGCGCTTCGCGGCGCCACGTTCATGTCGGGCACGTCCCTCCACAGGAGGAATATGTTCAAAAATGACTTGAAAATAGGCTGTGGACGATTCTTCGACGACTCTTCTGACTATGTTTGAATATTTGCTCCAAATAGGCTTGCCCTATAAGAGTTCTAATTCAAACCTTACTAATTGGTCCGTTTACCCCCCCAATTCCGATGGCCCCCCTATTCCTATGGCCCCCCCCTTATTTTCAATGGCCCCCCCCAGCTATTTCCAACGGCGAGACCTATTGACTCCTATGGATTCCTATGAGCCGCATGGATTCCTATGCCTGCTTCCTCTTGCTTGCTTGCTTGCACTTGCTTGCTTGCTTGCTCTTGCTTGCTTGCGCTTGCTTGCTTGCTTGCTTGCACTTGCTTGCTTGCTTGCTTGCTCTTGCGTGCTTGCTCTTGCTTGCTTGCTATTGCTTGTCCTTGCTTGCTTGCATTTGATCGCTGGCTCTTGCTTGCTTGTTATTGTTCGCTTGTGCGGAGCGGGATGACGCCCGAGGAGCAGGAGGAGGCCTCTTGGGGGGGGGGGGCCAGCCTGGCCTGTTCCTCGAACGGCGTCCGGGCATGGCCACGAGGAACCCGCCCCAGGGGTGCCCCCCCCCAAAAAAAACGGCGGCGGCGGCGACGACGACGACGAAGAAGACGACGACGACGACGACGACGGCGGCGACGACGACGGCGGCGATGGCGGCGGCGGCGGCGGCGACTGCGGCGAGGGCGGCGGCGACGACGACGTCCCCCGAAGGCCCCATCGACGTCGCCCCCCGGTCGCCAGGAGCTGGAGGAGCTCGCTCCCGGCGGCGGCGCTGCTGGCGGAGAGGACGTCGCTGCCCTGGACAAGCCCCCCCAAACAAAAAAAACAGAGGCGAGGACAGGATGCATCACAAAGCCTGGCACGAGGGTCGAGGATGAAGGATCGAGGAGGGTCGAGGATCGAGGAGGATCGATGATCGAGGAGGATCGAGAATCAGGGATCGAGGGGGATCGAGGATCAAGGATCGAAGAGGATCGAGGATCGAGGAGGATCGAGGAGGATCGAAGAGGATCGAGGATCATGGATCGAAGAGGGCCGAAGATCAGGGATCGAGGAGGAAGGGTTCGAGGATCAATGTCCTGGGTTTGGAAGTCGGACAAGGAGTGTGGCATGAAGTGGTATGGTGCCAATCGTCAAAACGGCGATGCTATTTGCGATAACTAGCACCACCATGCTATTTCTTACATGCAATCAGCATCACACCCTCTTATACCATACCCTTTTCCTACCTCCAGACTGGCGTGCGTGCTTCTCCTGCCTGCGCCCCTGGGGGGGGGGCGCCCTCCTCGCCGGGGCTGGGACCGCTCGGGAGATGTCCGGCCAAAACGCGCCCCCCGAGGCAGGCCCTGCGGCCGGTGTTTCGGGTAGGAGATCGACTACCAAATTGACGTAGCCCCCAGAGGCCCCAAGAAGCTCCCAAGCGGCCCAGAAGAGGCCCCCAAGGGGCCCACTTCGGAGGTCCCAGGAAGGCCCCCAAGACGCCTCAAAACTGCCTCCAAGAGGCTCCACCAGGCCCCTAAGCAGCTCCCAAGACGCCCACAACAGTCTCCAGATAGTGCCCAAGCAGCCCACGACGTCTCAATTTGGGACTCCCTGCCTCTTCTGGGGGTCGGTGTTCGCGTTTGCCTCTTGAACCCACGTCCCGAAGTGACGTGCTGAACGGCAGCGTTTTCAGCGAAAACGATAATGCAACGTATCCTCTGTATCCAATAATTATATACTTGCTACAAACTGGAATGCGCTACCTTATTATATCTCCCCAAAACTCCCCTTTTGGAGTCGCGCCATTCCAAGGTACTACATTTGACGGCCACCATCCCGGTATGTATATAATAATTATATCAATATACCGATAAATAAATAAATGACAATAATAATACTACTAAGAATAATAATAATGAGACCGTATTTTTCCAGCGGAGAAGATCTGCTACTATCTGACAGGGTTACAACACACAGCTGGGACGACGTGAGATCGTTAGAATCACACGTCCAAGGCATTCTGCAAAGTATAATGGGAGAATGGGATGGGAGAACATTGTTCGAAAGGGCGGGTGCCTTTGACGCTTGAGCCCGAGCGGTTGCGATGAGCAACGCGAGGGGCCAAGCCTGGACACGACACCCGAAAAACCTTTCTCATCATTCCCGTGCACGCACTAACATAATGAGACCGTATTTTTCCAGCGGAGAAGATCTGCTACTATCTGACAGGGTTACAACACACAGCTGGGACGACGTGAGATCGTTAGAATCACACGTCCAAGGCATTCCAAACATCCCGAATTGAAAAGGGTTCACGGGGGCGAAGGAGGGGAAGAGAGGAGGGGAAAAGCGAAAGCAATCATGGCATGAGCCTCATTGGGCCTTGGTACGGGCGGGGCCGCCCGAGTTGCACGAGCAGGAAGCGTGCTTCTTAACAGCGAGAGATTTAGCCAGAGCAGCGGCAAGGCGAGAGGGGTAAGGCTGGGCAATTGAGGTCCACAAAACATTCTGGTCATTGCGGCCACTCAGCTCGATGTAACGGCGGAGAGTGCGAGAGCACCTACCTGCTTTTCCAGTGCACACTCTGTCCAGTGAGCAACTGTCCTCAGGATACATATTGCCACAAACCAGCCATGTCCTTTTTCGCCACGGCGTACCCCATTGACAGAAATCTGTAAGTCGCCATTCAGCACGCGCCCGGCTGCACAGCGCCAATATCTCTGGGATGAACCACAGACGGGAAGTTGACGGATTTTCAAGTATCCACGGAATTTTGTAGCGATTGAGATGCCTGAGAATGCGAATTACGGCCCGAATTATCTTGTTACCAGTTTCGAGTGAGGCTCGGTCCCGATCGGTAGCATCAGTCAAGTCAGTCCCCCATGGTTGAGTGCGTGAGCGTATCTGAAAGGTCCTGTCTCGAGCGATAGTCAGCGAGGTGCAGGGGGGGGCGATCATGGCGGCGAAAATCTTGCCGTCACGGATGTCCGAAAGCAGTAGGCGGAGCACAATTGGGTCCGTGATGTCATGGCTGGGCCCGTGGATGATGTCCCAGGCCTTAGCTGAGAACCCCAGCCGCGTGACCGCCCGAGCAACCTTGCCTGAGCCAGAGAACAGGTCGGCCATGTAGGTGCCGTCCTTAGCTAGCCGCGGACGGGCGGTGGCCTTGGAGCAAGCTTGGGCGACCAGAGGAACTCGACGAGCTGGTCCTCGCACAGGCGCATGTGTGCTTGCATCTCGGCAGCGAGCTCGTTCCAGAAGCTTCCGAGGCGGGCGCCCTTCTCGTAGCGCACGAGGTTCTTCCAGCTCTTCCACCTTCCGCGCTTCTGACTCTCCTCCTGGCTGCGATCTGGCTGAGGGCGATCTATCGACGGCCACGAGTGTCTCATCTGGCACGGTACAAGGTGCGACATGCCCAGCATCTTGGCGACAGTCTTGAACTTCGCCAAGAAAGTGAGATAATCGAAGGACCACAGCCGGCCGCCCTTCTCCTTCAAGGCCTGGAGGAAGTCGTGAACCCACGGCAGCATGTAGGCCGAGTCGATGATCAGCGAGTCGTCCGCATCGCCGGTCTTGCTCCTCTCTTCCCCCTCTGAAGGATGCAAAAGGAGGCTCCAGTACTGCGACACCAGCGATGCCGGGGCCACCAGGTCGTTCGAAGTAAGGTTGAGGAGCTCTGAGGGCCTGAGGTAGCAGCTGACTCCGATCATCACGGCGAGACCCATGACAAGCCTGCCCCGCCTCGCGAACTCCACCGCGATGGCACACCGAACCAGCAGGGGAGCGGGCGACCTGCCGTCGAGACTCCTCTCCATCTCGTCGGCCGTAGTAGTGCCATCGCTGTCCACGTCGGCGGCCGCGGACTCGACCTCGGCCTCGTCCTCGGCCCTCTTGGCCACGTAGTGCTCCAGCTCGGGCGCGACCGTGTCCACCGCAGAGCCCACGCCAGAGTAGAGCCACGCGTTGGCCCACTGCGGCCGAGAGGGGCCACCCGAGTACACGTCCACGATACTCTGGATGCGGCGCGCTATGAACTCGAAGCTGACCAGCGATGGCATGTTGAGCTGGTAATAGGTGCCCCCCACGTAGATGACCTCGCAGAGGACGGAGAGCTCGTGCATGACCCGCTCGCCCAGCCCGAGGTTCTTCGAGCGGGACCAGAGGTCAAGCCACATCCTGACGATGCCGCCGTGCCGATCAGAATGCCTGGGGATAAACATCAGGCTAGACCGCGCCTCCACGGGGCTGTCGGTCCACACCGTGGGGTAGCTCTCCATGACCACATTACGCCAAGACTTGAACCGGACGTTCATGGCGTCGGTGTCCACCCACAAAGTGCGAACATCGCTCGGCTCGGTGGCATCTGCAGGGGCGGTCGGCTTGGCTCCCTCGCCGTGAGAAGGCGCGCGGCTCGGCACGATCCCGTCACGCCGCCCGAAGTGAGTGGGCGCGGCGCCGACGTAGCGGACTGCTACCTCGTAGGCCGAGGTCTTCATGGACGCGTAGTCGCCCACGTCGGCCTCAGAAACGCTCTGCACTGGCACCGTCTCGCCGTTGATGTCGGCGACGCCGCGGTCCCCCAGCCTGATCATGACGCATGCGTGCGGCACAGGGATACCCAACTCCCCGATCAGACCAGGCTTGCTGACCAGCCAGCGGTGACGCTCGCCGTCGGCGGCCAGCACGCCGTCGCCCGCATCCCCGGCGCCGCCAAGTGACTCGGCGGCTCCAGCGCCCGCATCGGCGACAGGTGGATTGCCTTCCTTGCCGGCACGCCTCACCTGCTTGCCCTGGGGACGGCGACGAAGGAGCGGGCGCTGGCGCCCATCCACCGACAAGAAGTAGGTCGGGTCTGCCGGCACGTGGCGATCGGGCTCAGACTCCCGCAAGGACGCCACCTCGACGCGGGCCTCCGCAATCAGCCCGCGTAGTACGTCGTCCGTCAGGAACAATGCGAACGGCACGACCTCCGCCACGTAGTACGGCAGAGACCTCGACGGCTGACCCGCCGTCATGGGGCACACCTTGTCCCAGTCCTTCTCCTTTTTCCACATACAGGTCGCCGCCGCCCGTGTACACGATCCAAGACCACTCGTGACACGACCGCATGATGACGCGCTCGTGCCTGAAACCAGGATTAAGGACGAGCGACACGAGCAGCTGCGTCCCCGACAGCCAGTCTTGCTCCATTGCGGATCACACGGGGCTGCGTCGAGTCGGGCCGTGCAGCACGGCGGCCCCAATACAGCACGAAGAGCACCTCGAGGATCGCGAACCCCAGGCAGCCGGCGAGGGCGAGGCCGGGCGAGAACGCGAAGCCTCCCACCCACAGCCAGAGGACCTCGATCGCCGCGGCTCCGTCGGGCGCGAGCCGCACTGAGGCACCCAGCGAGGGCGGGCCCGGCGGCTCGGGCGCCGCTGACGACGGGCAGGTGCAAGCAAGAGCAGTCCCACGGCGGAGGCTCCCCACACCAGTCGACGGCCGCCGCGCGGCCTGGGGCTGCCGGCGCGAAGCGCCCAGCAGCGGAGCCGGCCAGACAGTCCGAGAGCGAGGGGGCTATCACGGCAATCCAGGCGAAGAATGCTACCTGGGATGGTGTGACGGCCATCGAGCGAGAAACCCGTGCCTTTGACGCTTGAGCCCGAGCGGTTGCGATGAGCAACGCGAGGGGCCAAGCCTGGACACGACACCCGAAAAACCTTTCTCATCATTCCCGTGCACGCACTAACATAATAATAATAATGATAAGAAGAAGAAGAATAACAATAATAATAATAATAATAATAATAGTAATAATAATAATAATAATAATAATAAGACTAAGAATAATGATAATACGAATAGTAAGGATAATAATAATCACGATTTAAGCCTCTGGGGGGCCAACAAGGCCGCGAAATGGCCCGGGATGCCCCTGGGGCCGGCCAATCTGGCCCCAAGACGGCCCACGATGGCCACTCCAGCAATTATGAAACCTTGAGGACGGCCGAAGGGGGCCCCAAGAACACCCGCAACAGCGCCCCCAAAGACCAAAAACATCGGTATCCCATGATTGCTGACGAATTTTAGCGTTCTCGCCTGCCTCGACTCTCCAAAACCACCAATGTCGGCCAAAGCAGCAGCCAAAATTGCCCTAAGAAAGCTTACAAATTCCCAAAAAGGGATCCGAAAAGGCCCTAATCAAAAACGGCCCCCAACACGGTCCAGGACGCTCCCAAGACGGCCCACGAGGACCCCAACAATGTCCCAAGGCGGCAGCGAGAAGCCCCAAGACGGCCTCCGGAAAGGTCAGACAGCCTCCACGCCCGCCAAAAAGGCCCCCAAACAGACCGGCATGGCCCCACGAGGTCCCACAGAGCCATCGGAAACACCCCCCAGAGACCAAGAGGTCCCCAAGGAGCTTCACTGAAGCGCCCGAAAACGCCCTTGCGCATCGCACGGAAAGCTTCATCAAACAGCTCCGCAAGCTGGCCCTCCGTGCACGTGCGACGCCTGTGCACGCGGTCCTCCGACCCAGCGTTGAGATGCTGCCACCAGCTCGACGCACCCGGCGAAGTGGTCACCAAGACGGCTCTCCAAGGATCCGTGCGACCCTACCGCGCCCGAAGACGCCCTGGGGCGCTCCCAAGGGTCAGCCAAGTCTAAGGAAGTCGATGCCCACAAAAAAACGACGAACATCTTCCAAGACGCCCAAACGCCTGCACTCTCCGCAATCCGCACTAAGCTTACAGGAGGCGCACGACACCCTTACTTCGCGTGCTCCGACGAGTAGGCCATACTAGGCAACGCCCAAATTGCATGTATATTTGTCTCGTGTGTTTTTCCGGGGTTGCGGTTACGCGCATTGGCCTGGCAGCGGGCGCGCATGGACTCCGCGGACAGCGCGGGCGCAGCACGCCGCGAAGTCCCCGATTCAAGACGAGGCCTGGACAAAGGCCAGGACGGCGTGAAAGGCGGCGCGGAGCAGGGGCCACTCCAGAGGTCACGGGTGAAACCAAGGGACCCCCGAGAGCGCCTCCAGAAGCAAAACACACAGGTTCCCATGTTTTGCGATTTCAGCGTTCTCAAATTGTTCAACTCTCGCGGGCCACGACAACCGAAGCAGCCTCCAAGACAGTCCCCATGCGGCCCAAGAGGGCCCCGAGACTGCGCACCCGCATGGCCCAAAGAGGCCCCCAACACGTTACAAGAAGCCCTCCAAACTGCCCGAGAGGGGGTTCAGACACGATTCCCCGTACGAACCTCCCCATTTCCTTCATCGCCCCTTCTGACACGGGAAAAGCCCACGCAACACCAGCTCCTGAGGAGGCCAGACGGCGAAAGAGCACCCCGAGAGGCCCCAAGGACGCCCCCCCTGAGGCCACAAGCGGCCGCCGCAACGCCTCCAGGAGGCCCCAGAGAGGACCCCCAAAAAACCCCAAACGGCTGAAGTTGACGCGGCCCGGTATGGTCCGCGGTCGGCGGAATGGCGCAAGCATTCTGAATCCACGCCCGGAGGCCACGTGGTGAGCGGCAGCGTTCTCCGCGGATGCCGTGATAAACTGCATCCGATGTATCCAATGGTTGCAGAATTGCTACATCGCGCATTGTGTGACATTACTATGTTTCCGCACTAACCCCCCCTGGTGTGGCGCCCTTCCAAAATGACCCCCCTTTTCTCGGGTTTTCAAAACCTGAAAAAAATATTGGAGATCGGCGATTTGGACCTCTGGGGGGCCCAAGAGCGCCGCAAAATGGCCCAGGATGGCCTCGGGCCCGGCCAAGGCGGCCCCAGGGCGGCCCAAGATTGCCCCCCCAGGGATTATGAGGCCCTCAAAACGGCCCAAGAAGGCCCAGAGAGCGCCCACAGCAGCGCCTCCAGAGACCAAAAACCTTGACCTTCCATTATCGTTTAAAGAGTTTAGCGTTCTCGCCTGCTTCGACTTTCAAAAACCCACGACGGCCAAAGCAGCGGCCAAAATTGCCCCAAGAAGACCAAAAGATCCCCTACAGGGGCCCAAGACTGCCCCGGAGGGTCCAAAGACGGCCCCCAACACGATTCAAGAGGCCCCCAAACAAGACGGCCCAAGAGGACCCCAAGAACGCCCCAAAGCGGCCGCGAGAAGCCTCCAAAACGGCCTCCAGAAGGGCAAGACGGGCTCGAAACCTGCAAAAAAGCCCCAAAACGGACCGACATGGCCCCACGAGGCCCCCAAAAAAGACTTCCGAAAAGCCAAGAAACCTCACTGAGGCGCCCGAGAACGCCTTTGCGCATCGCACAGAAAGCATCATCAAACAGCTCCGCAAGATGGTCCCCCGCGCATGTGCGACGCTCGTCGGGAGGGGGGGAGTATCAATGCCACGCTGCCGCGGGGCCCTCGAGGGCGTCATCGGCGTGATGCTCCTTCGCTTCTCCCCCGAAAAGACGACGCAGGTCGACAGTGACACGCTGGCTGGGCCCCCGCGGCGGCGTGACATTGATACTCTCTCTCCCCCACCGAGCTTGCACAGGCGGTCAGCCGACCAAACGCTGAGATGCTTCCACTAGCTCGACGCGCGCGGCGAGGTCCAGCGCAAATCTTCCTCTGAGGCCGTTCGCTTCGCTGCACAGCTGGACACAGCGTAGGCCCCAAGACGGCTCTCCAAGGATCCATGCGACCCTGCCGCGCCCGAAGACGGCCTGGGGCGTTCCCAAAAGTCAGCAACATCTCATGAAGTCGATGCCCACAAACAAAAACTACTAACATCTTCCAAAACGCCCCAAACCCCCGCACTCTCCGCAATCCGGACGTGCACCCCGAGAAGCGAGAGGAATTCATGTACCCCCGGATTGGA